GTTTTCTTCAGGCAGTCCTCTTCATAAATCTCACTGGAACGGCACCAAACAAAAGTTCCAATATCATCACCTTGTCCAATACAAATTCACGATTCATCACTCCAGTCCACGATTGCTTTTCCTTAGCCCATTGTAACCTTGTTTTTTTCTATTTAGGTGTTAATGATGGCTATCGTTTAGCTTTTCTATGTGTAAATCCCATTTCCTTTAGTTGGTTTCTTACAGTTCGGTCACAGTGGTTGACTACGGTTTCCTCACATTCATTCCATTGTGCATTTTCTGTTTTGGAGACATGTTGCTTTAGGTTTTCTGTCTCGACACTTTGTCTTCCTTGGTCTACCAGTATGTTTTCCTTGAACAACCTGCCCATGYTGTTTGTATTTGGTCCAGATTTTAGACACAGCTGACTGTGAACAAGCAACACCTTTTGCAACATTGCGTGATGATTTACCCTCTTTTAAGGGTTTGATAATCCTCTCCTTTGTTTCAATTGACATATCTTGTGTTGGAGCCATGATTCATGTCAGTCCACTTGGTGCAACAGCTCACCAAGGTGCGATCACTCCTTTTTAGATGCAGACAAATGAGCAGATCTAATCTGATGCAGGTGTTAGTTTTGGGAACGAAAATTTACAGGGTGATTCCATAATTTTTTCCTGTCCTCGGTATAAAAAAAATTAACCGATACTGACTACCACATTTTTTTTCTAGATTTGTTTCTTAAAGCCAGAAAGTTGCCATTTGAAATAACTTTAGTTTTGTGTCATGTCTATGATCTGCTTTTTTTTCTACAAAATTAAACAACTGAATGAACATCCTCCATAATGATTATGGTGGGTCCATACGTTGTGCCAGGGGTTGTAGACAGAGACTTTGCCATTTCAACATTCAAGGTCAAAAATTCGCTTTGCTTGCACTTAGACACAGACAAAACCGTTGAAGGGTTAAAATTCGATTCAACATAAATAGCAACACCACCACCTTTATTAGGCCTGTCAGTATGATGGACATATCCAAATATGTTGAAGTCTTCATTAATATTTGATTTAGTCAACCAAGTTCCTGAAATGAGCACAATATCTGCATCTTTGGTTGCAGCCCAAATTCTGACCATGTCTAACTTGGGCATTAAGCAGCACACATTAAGAATAAATTTGAGCTTAGTGATTTAAAATCAGTGACGTGTCTGAATACTTTGGAGCTCAGGTCCAGGGTTTGGTTGCACATTCCCAGTTATTAGTAAAAGTACGATAATCAATTGTTTAATTTGACATTTTCTAGCAATCCTTTCACATTTGGAAGCCAGGACATGCCTTTCTTTAACCAACTAATTCAGTTTATATAAAACAAGAAAACACTGAAGTTTGGTTGAATCCCAGGAAGATCTGACCATATTTTAAATGCCCCAAGCAAATAAATTTGAGTTGATTCAGGACGCTTAGCTGCATTGGATTTAGTGCCAGTATAATAAGTGTCCCATGCACTCAGCACTTTGTTAGAGGCACTGACTCAAAATCATCGCTTGGACTTATGGTCCAAATAACCAACAAGCACAATAAAGTTATAAAAAAAATGACATTATCTTCCACTTAAAGAACATCAGTAGCAACAGTTTACAGTTTATGAGTAGCTCAGTCTCAGCATCAGGACGATACCGTATAGGCTCAGGCCTGTTGTCCAGGCTCCAGATGTAGTTGACTCATGCCAGCTACACCAGTCACCAAGGGATTATGATACGCTCTGACTGGATAGTCCAAGCTCTAAGCAGGTATCGCAGGCTTAGATCTACTATCCAACGCTGCAGAGGGTTGCAGCAGGAACAGGCCTGTTGACCAAGGCTACAGATGTAGCAGGCTCAGGCATGTTGTCTGAAGCTACAAGTGAAATAATTTAACATGCAACCACTGGCAATGTGACTGTATTCTACAAGAGTTTAAATTAAAAATGTATTAAAAATGTAAAATACAATTACTGGAGAATTTTTTAGCTCAAAGGTACATTGGGTTATTAGAATGCATACCATGATTGATGMGTTGGTAACAGACTTCTTGAAGTTTTGATGCAAGATTCAAAAAAGATTCAAAAAGTAGACCTGATGAAATGAACATCAGTAAATCCATTAGGCAATCGTCTCACTGTTAGGTATCAGCATCAGAAGAAAGGGCAGGGTGTGAAAAGGAAAATAAATGGTAACAGGGTTTGTCGTTAGATTATTTTTTATTTGCTTATGTGATGTCAGTGTTGTAGGCTATGTCCAGGAGCACTAGCTAAAATATAATGT